AAACTGTCAGGAACTTGCAGGGATTGTAAAAGAGAATAAAGAACAAATAAGACAAAAGGAGGAGCCAACCTGTTCCAAAATGCTGGAAATCAGTGACGTCTTTCCACTCCCCACGTTTCCACAGATTCCAAGCAGGTTGCCCTTCAGGAGATAACACAGAGAGAGTTTGGGTTTAACCTTTAACCCTCTCTAGATCACCTTATTTATTCTCCCCAGTCATAAAACACACCTTAGGCAGTGTGAAAGAGATGTTTCTCAGGGTTGGCAAGGTTTCAGAAGTCCCATTCTGGCACGTCTCCTCCACTTTGTGTCCCTTCTCCCCATTAACTGAGATGATGGGTAGAGAGTCTGGCTGGTTGGCAGGTTTGTTCCAGGAAAGTGTTGCATTTTTCATCACGACGGCTGAATCACTGTCTTTTCTCTGGATCAGGTAGGGCTCTGGATTCTGGATCAGCAATATTTTCTGAAATAGCCGAACATTGCATTTATAAGCTTTTTTGTTTTAACTGTAAAAATTAGATTTTAAGTGTGAACTTGTTCCACAACAGCAACAGACACAATGAAAGCTGGCAATGAAGTTGTAGCAAAGAAGATGGCTCCAATAACAATGAAAATGGAAAAACAATGACGTAATAATACAAATTTTCACATTTTAGAGATTAAAGGCAAGTGTGAGGCTAAGAGAATGACAACAGAAGCAATAAAGCCAAGTTTGCACTGCAGGTTGGCGTACATGTTAAAACTCCATACAAGCAATTATTTATGTTTGAAATTAATAAAGATAAAATAAGAACCATATTGTTAGTCTGCAGATTATGAGCTCATCATTATTTATTATCACTAGAAGGCACAACCTTGCAGTTGGTATGGCTGGATGACATCACAGCAAGATGACTTTATGTAAGATCAGAGTAATAATGAATACCGTTGCCAGCTGAGCAGGACAAAAAGAGAGGAGTTTACCCTCAGTCGTTTTAGTGAAACAGCAGCCTCAGCCAGGACCTTTGCAGACATAGGCATAAGTCCCAAGCAGAACCTCAAGGAGTTGAAGATGGCGATGGTGGTGAAGGCCTGTTCATAAAAAAGAATGATGCTCACACTATACAACACTGACTTTTTTTTTTTTTCAGTACACCTTAACCATGTAAATCACACAGTGGGCATGATGGCAAGGGTTGTTGTACTGCATGTGCTGCACTGCTGCAGTACTCACATCAGTTGTGTTGAGCTTCAAGCTCAACGAAGTGTGTACAATGAAGGTGAGAATGGTGGCCAGGGTGGGGATGATGCTGGTGATGCTAGTATTGGCGTTCTGGACGTAACTGACCTTCCGCAGTTCTTTCTTCTCATTTTTCCGGAATCCTAAGAGAGACAGCATCACATGTTTGGGGAACAATTTAATTTTTTATTCTACTTCTACTTCTATTAGCTGACACCGAAAGAGCATGGACTGGTGGAGGCAAGGGCACATGGGAACCCTAGATTTTAGTTTTGCCCAATGGAAACTAGCACACGCGACTTTCAAGATTGGGTTTGTGTTCATACAAAAGGACTGTATAAATGATAAACATGATATTTGTTCTTCAAGAAATGTCTGTTTAGCTAGTTTCCTGTTTTATTTAGAATGCCCCTGCCTCCTGTGTCTTGAGTTCACTTCACTACCTGCATTTGTATGCGTTCCCCCCTGTGTGATTGTCTGCCCCGCCCCTGATTGAATCCTCCTGTGTCTAATCATCTGCACCTCCACAGTGTCTCAGTGTCAGTTCGTCTGTTGTGCTACCTGCTCTGCTCCCTGTTTTGATCTACAATGATTCCTGGGATGATCCCTGCTCTTCCCTGTTAAGTAGTTTTGTTTTCTTGGACTTTTTGTGACACATTTTTTAACTCCCCAGGTCTGCAAGTTTAGTTTTGAACATTTTCTTAACAATTAAAGTCACTGTTATTCATCCCTTTGTTCCCCCGTGTCTCTCTGTGTTTGGGTCAATCCCCTGCTACCATTTTTGCCTTAAACCCTGACAAGAAAGGTTAAAAACATGTTTGACTGGACAACAAAGTCTGTCTAACTTCATACCTGTGATCTTCTTTTCAAAGGAATCTTCCCAGGCGTACATCTTGATGAGCTTGATACTGTTGAGAATCTCATTCATTGTGCGAACACGGCTGTCTGTTATCAATATGGTTTTCCATTTGAATTTGTTGATGAGTTTGGCCAGGCCAAACTGAAAGCAGAAAAAACAATATTAATCTTTGTGTTGTGGGAGTAAAATGTATTTGTCTTGAAATATATTTGTGTAAAATCAATCATATCCATAATTTAAAATGTATACATGTATATTCACAGAGACTTAGGGTATAAATTAATGTACAATGCTATTGTGAAGTTAGTTGGCTCCGGACAGCTCGATTTACTTGTATACTTTGTGATGCAAATACATCTGCGTGAACTGAAGAAAATTCAATCTCTCTTGTGTTCTGTGGGTGTTCGTTGCTGAGTTCCTAATAGTGAGATCCTGTGATGTCTCACCACAAGTCAGATAGATAACAGTTACTGAGTCAGCTGTTAGGTGTTGAGTTTTAACATAAGTCAAAGAAGCTGAGCATCATCATCGACGACGGAATAAAACCCACAACAGTGTCAATTGAAAACAAGCCGCAAAGAGGAAAATAAAGATATGTTAGTGTGGTCCATGTTGATGGCTGAATTAGTTAGAATGAATTAATTGGAAAGCTCTAATTATTTGCCAACTACTAGATAATTAAAATGCATTTCTGTTTATAACCTTTGATTATTGCAGTACCTCTTTTTAGCTCTGATTGTGATGTGGCTCGATTAAATCTGAATCCATTTATTTTACACTGCTCATGAAAATATGTCTAATAACTGTTTGTGCAGTTTCCAACATACAGACCTGTACTGGGATGAAGATGAGGTAGGTGCAGACTCCAGTCAGTGCGGTGTAGCCCAGAATGTAGCAGGCATAGACAATACACACAATAAAGAGCACTGGGGTGGACAGCACAAAGCTCCCAAACAATACTGCTTCGAATAATTTGTGGCCATCGTTGGTCAAAACACCAATCATCTGGATGGGAGAGGAGGAGAGAGAGACTGGAATCTACATTTGCCAAGATTGCTTTGCCAAGGCAAGTTGCTTGAACTAATGGTGAGAACAAGTGAATTCCACAGGATGTTTATGACAAAGAAGTGTGGCCTTGTAAAACAGGATCAAAAACAAAGTTGTGCAGGAAACAAGAACAAATATTGCCACAAGAGGCCATTCCAGGTTGCAGGGGACTGGGTACTTGGCTTCAAAAAGTAGAGCAAAGTCAATTCAACTGGTTTAATCTTGTTTAAAGACAAAGTGAAACCAATCACACACTTGTTTCATCATGACCATGTATGCAGCCTTTCAGAAAGGCACACTCAAAGTCCCACCAGTCATTTTTTTTTTTACATTTGACGATATTTCAACAGCTTAATCAAAAATATCCAGCAAGTTTGGTGATGTTTGGACAAGCTGTCATTGATTTATGGCCAAATTTGCCCCATGCACATGTTAAGAACTAGTCCTGACCCCTATTAAGTTATTTTGAAATAGTTTCACACGTGTTTTAACATTGTCATGAAACATATCCTAGGAGTTTTGTATTGATTGGATGAATAGTTTCTGATTTATAGTCCAATTTGGGTTGTGCCCCACTCATCTATTATATTTGAAGTGCTAACTAGTGGTCGATTCGACTGAAACTTGTTTCAGGTACTGTTGTAGATACACCCTGCAAGATGATTGGCCAAACAATTGTTGAGTTAGGTATATTAATGTGGTGAGGCAGGCCCCCTTGAAGTTCATTGGTCAATATCTTGAAAGCTTTATGGCTTAATCAACAAGGTTTTGATCATTTTGTTTAGCTTGGTCCAATATTGATTCACAGAAAATTTGGTAGCAATCAGATCTACATTTAAGGAGGAGATGACAGATGGAGAAAAATGTAGTGGGCGAGCTTATATGGTCAGAGTGCGTCAAATTTCAAATCGATCTGACTTGATGGCGAAAGGACGTGGCCTTCCTAAAATGGTGTTTTTGGGTGTTGGCACATTACAGCGCCACCATGTGGCCGATTGAAGTCAGATTTCTTGCAAAGCACATGCACATCGTATCCAGTTATTGGGCCAAGTTTCTATTTCTTGCTATTTCCAGCTCACAGGGAATCCCTTTGGAGCTAGAACCCTAAAAATGCAATAATATCGACTAAAATGTTAGATGAAAAGAAATATATATATATATATATATATATATATATATTCAAGAAGGGCATTATGCAGTTGTCCCCTGTCACTCAGATGTGCACTTAATGTATGTCTACATTAAAAATACATATTAAAAAAAACCTTTCTTTGACCTGGACTGACCCCAGTTTACATGTTAAACTCCACAAATCTAAAACAGACATGAGGTATATTGAAGATATATTTTCTTTCCACTACTTTCTACAGTTCACCAAGAGTAAGAAGATCTCTCAAATGATGGGCAAAGAGATTTTGGTGTATGAGATCGCTTTCCTAGAGAAATGCAGGAACCCTACCTCTCCCATTGAAATGCCGCTGTGCACCCGCAGAGAGATGACTTTCTGAAAGGCCACTGAAGAGAAGGCTCCCTTCAGTCGGACTGCAGTGCGCAGGTTCAACGCCCACAACAAGGATATCAGGAAGGCTTTGGAGAACTCAGTGGTGAACAAAGCGAAGGACAGACCAACACCGTAGGATATTGTGGACTTCTCTGGGTCCTCATTATAGTTCAAGATCTCATAGACCAGAACAGCCTGAGAGGACAGAGAAGTTTGTAACACACAAAAGAGCAGTAAATATTAAACAACCTTTACATTTGAGTCATAAAACCTTTGTGATGTCACCCATAAAGCATTAAGTTGCATTTCTTGACCATTTTTCTGCATAATGAGAACTTTTACTTTTCATACTTTAAGTAAATGTAGCTGATTATATCTGCGTATTTGAACGAAGTAAAGTTTTGAATGCAGTTCTTTTACTTGTAGTGGAGTATTTTACAGTGGTATACTTGCACTTTTACTTAAGAAAAGATCTGAATTCTTCTTCAAGCACATTTACAGTGAATGTGATATTAGGAAAAACATCAGAAAAGGCTCCTGGATCTGGTATCCAATAGAGGAGGCACTGGTACTGATATTCAGCTTCAAATGTAATTACCGGGCCCAGAAACGCTGCCACCATGGCAAGGACACCAACAGCGACGGAGAGAATCAGCCTGGTTCTTTGAAAGCGAAGGATTACACGGACCAGAGAGGCCTTCTCCAGGCCCACCTTTGCCACCTCTTCTTCCCAAAGTCTGTGGAGTCTGTGCACAA